TGTGGAACCGTAGCAGTTTTTCGCCCAGTTCTAGTGTGGGGTAAAGGGAATTGCGAAAAGTAAAGTGCACAAGGATTTAACGAGGAAAAATCCCTTGGCTCAAAGGGATTAAAAAACCTCGACCTCCCTCGGAGGAATTTTAAACAACTTCACTAAACAAGCCTTTGGAAGAGTTACAAGAGTGATTCTCTTAATCTACCCTTGAGCCTCCGCAACTCTATCCTCTCTAGGAAGAGTTATGCATATCTACCTTGCGGGTAGAGAGCCTCTCAGCTTTATCACAAAGCTCTCACACACACTTAACCCAAGGCAGCTACTCTAGCCAATTAAGCCTCAATATTCCAAGTACAATATGAAAGGGAAAAGAAAACTCTATCTAGAACTCCGCGAGCAGTTTCAGGTGCCTTGGACTTAGTATTTCTCTCGAGTGTGTCTCTGAATATTTCTCTGGTCAAGCACTCCTTTTTCTCTTGATCTTCCGTCATATATATAGCCTTAAGCAAGACGTCTGTTAGCTCCTCTTTCCTTGCTTGAATTCTTTGACTTGCCTTGATATTTTTGAATTACTTTCCTTGCATAATATCTCTCATATAAAGGCATATGTTTGGTTAAGATATTCTAATAACACATAAGAGCATGTCAATTTGGGAGAATAACTTATGCAGCAACGGTTCCAAAAATAATATGGCAAGGAATAATTTACTTTCTTATTTTAGCAAGAGAGCAATAAAGTGGTCAACACCTTTTTCAAAAGTATCTATTAAAATAATTTTAGTGGAAAGGGCAATGATTGCTTTAAATAAAGATATGAATGAGCAGCATGTAATATTTCAAAGGCACGTAACTTACCTTTTTGGAAATATAGCTAATGATTACCTTTTCCAAGCCAAAGGAATTCAAATTACGTAAAGTAATGAAAGAGTAAGGAAATAGTTTATTTTCCTTACATAGTAAAAGTGCAACGGGCCATAAAAAGAAGTCAACATCCTATTTAAAATTAATATTTAAAAATTCAATCAAGGATGGCAATTCAATTTGTATGGTAAGAAAATATTTTCAGCAAGCACATGACACCTACGGTCAGCCAAAGTAAAGATAACAAGAGAATTTTCAACGGCATAACTAATCAAATATAAAAATATCACATATGGAAAAGCATGCACCTGCAGATACATAACTAATTATGGGACCGAGTATTTCGTGGAACTGTTCTGTCCAGAGTTCATATTAGAACTCTCCGTAGTCGGTTCTGTCCCCCGTTCCACCTGCATGGTTAGTCATCAACAAAACCACATACTCAACAGGAAAAAATCCTAATAAAGGGAAAGAGAGTACACCTAGCGCCCCCAACATGAAACAAGGAAGGTAGCCCCCCTCCGGTATACTCACTTTTGTCTAGCTCAAACCGTCTTCATTTGGTTCATCTCTCGTTCCTGCTCATGCGTGATATTTTTTCCTCATCTAGAAACACTGACCCCTCAGTCCCCCAGTCCCCACTCATTTGAGGCGAGTGGAGACGAGGTGAAAATGAGTAAAGTCATCTTTGTACCTACACATTTATCATACATATAAAATCTTTTTCTTGGGATTTATGTTTCCGATCAGGAGTTCGTCACTTGAAACAAGTGGAAATGTGCATTGTTAATGTAATGATAAAATACTTAGTAGAATGGATGTGTGAGTCATTCGTAAGCAACGGTCGCCACTCGAGGATTGACTAAGACCGGTCTTCGTGCCCGACTTGGTCGGGGCTTTGTGCCTGGTCTTAGTCAGGGCTGTGTGCCTGATCTGGGTCGGGGCTTTAAATCCTAGTGATGGGTCTCAAGCCACACTCTACTAGGCATTTGATCATAAGTGCGTGATAGTGTGACATTCACCCGACAAAAAAATGATTTAAATAAATATAAATAATATGAAAATTAAAGAGTACTTATCTTTCAAATATTAATTATGTTGCTTGGACAAGATGATCCATATGTGCTGGAAAAGAGCATGGCCCAACTAATAAACTGGCTTTGGCGTGGCTCATCATGTTGAATAGTTTGGGCCCAATAACTGCACTAGACAGACGTAGTCCTTCCTCAGTTCCTCTTGCTCTTTCTTGGACCAAAAAGGTCTGTCTTCCTCGCCGAGCAATAATTGGAGCCAGCAGAAGATTAGAGAACAAATGTTGACCGAGTCAACATCTTCCTTTTCTCGAGAGGGGAACCTCCCACCGGCGTCTCATGAACATAAGTGGCCCTCGGAGGTCCGACAGACAAGGTAGTTTGCCGGAGTCTGTCTTTTGGCGGCGATTGTTGTAAAAGGTACTGTAATGATACTGTAGCAATACTGTAGCTGCTTTTTGAGTGAGTTTATTTCCAAAAAGGGAAATGCGACAATTTATTTGATATGTCCCACAAGAAAAAGTGGGACAAGTAAACAGATACAGAGAGAGTATAAAATAGTGATTTTTTTGTCTAACTATAAATAAGTACTTCCTCGTTCTTAAATATAAGTGTAACAATCAACTTTTCACCTTTGTTGATGCACAACTTTCATCACTAATATATATGATTATCTATTAGTATGAAAATTTAAAAAATCAGATTTTGAAAATTTACAATGACATAAATTTAATAATATTTTTTTTCCAAAAAGTATATTACGACATTAATAAATAAAATGTATTCAAAGCAGAACGTATGAGTAGTGTAAAATTCAATATGTTGCACTTATATATGAACGAAAGTAGTACTCCCTCCGTCCCGCTAAGATTCTCTCATTTTACCTTTTCGGGAAGTCTCACTAAGATTGTACCATACCAAATTTGGTAAAGATTGTGTGGCTCAAAACCATTCTTACTTTATTCTTACTTTATCAATTTAATATCAACCACACAAACTCACATTTTCTAATAATCGTGCCACATTCTATTGTCTCAATCTTAGTGGGATGGAGCTAGTACTACATAATAATTTTTCATTCTTTTTTATATAATATCAGTGACACTCCTACTGAGTGACTCAAGTGAATAGTCTAGGCCTATGAAGCACGGATACTTCACTAGGGTGCCGTATCGACGTATCGGAAACGTTCCCGTATCCGATACTCTAGGATACTCGTACCTTACGTTCCCGGGTCGTATCTGTAATTTTTAAAAGTTTCCATTTTTTAGGGTAATTATTTTAAAATTTCATATACTCGTATCCTGACGGATACCCGTATCAACTTTAATAAAAAATATTCCAAAAAAAACTTTTTTAAAAAAACACTCAAAATTTACATAATAAAATTCTTAAAAATTGAAAAGCTAAAAATAATTTTTACCTTGCTTTTATGTGGTACACAACTAATAAGCCTATTCCTATTTCACTCATCCTCCTATCCCTAATTCTAATTATCTCCGGAAATAATAGCTTCAACGGAAATATGTATTAGAACTTCTAAAATATTGTTTTCTATCTTCATTATTTCTAGAACTTTGAGTACTTGCACTTTTAATTTCAAAATTGTAGTTATTTGATTTATTTTTCCTTTGAAATTAATGACTTATTGATTATATTTATATTTCGAGGTGCACTAGTGTATATGAGATAAAATATGAACTTATTTCTAAATATCTTGAAAATGTAAAATGCTTCAATGACATGAATGAGTAGACGTCAGGGGATAATAATTTCTTTCAAAAAGAATTAATTTTAATATTTATATATACACTCCTGTAAGTTTTAATATTTATAAATACAAACATATAACTTTTAATATTTATAAATATGGCCTCGAATCTGTATCCTACTTTTTGTTTTGTTTTGTCGTATCCCCATACCCGTTTCCGCGTTTCCGTGTGCCCGTATCGGTGCTACATAGGTCTAGACCAAATCACAATGATTTAGGGGGTGTTTGGAGTTGTTTCTGTTTCTTTTTAAAGGAGAATCATAATCCGTTTTCAGAAGCAGGTTTCACCAATCTTCTAAAAAAATTGTTTCTAGGAATAAATTAGAGCACAAAAAGTACTTATGCACTTTCACCAAACGCTCCAACTTCTGTTTTTGCTCCTTCAAGGTTTGAAGGTGCCAAAACAATTTTAATAATCAGATCCAAATATACCTATTTGGAAAAAACAGGTACATGTGCTCTAATTATAGTAGTTGTGTTTGCAAAACTACCTCTCCCTTGATTTCCAATGTACAGTCCCCGGCCCAACTCATGAATCGGAGTAGAATGTGCTCCAAATAATTTACGTAGTATTTGGAATGAAAAAACAAAAACATAAAAATAAAAAGAGAGAAGATTGTTGGAAAAATGATTTTACAAATTATATATTATTTGTAGAAAATCATTTTGAAATGAATGAGAAATTGTATCCCGAAATTCTCCCCGAAGTGATGTTCGTGTAGGACTTGTCCCGAGCCGCTGCCGCCGTCCGACTGGACAGGTCGGGTCGGGTTTTGAGTATAGGAGGGTACTCGCATGGCTTTAAGACTTAAACATTATTTTTTTGTACAAATTATTTTCGAATAAAAGCAACTATAAGAGAAGGGTCACTACCTTTCTTAACAGGCACCTTTTGGGATTGTGTCTCCTGGCCAAAGCACTATAAATCCTATTAGGAGGCCTGCATTTTAGACACGAAAAAGAAGTCCGAATATTGCAACAAACTTTCTTCATCTTCTCGTCCAAATTCAACCATTTTAGTGCATCATTTGGTTCGCCGGTGTCCTTCGGGAACGAAAAACCGTTCTATCCTGGGAGACGATTACTATTTGTGTTATGGGCAAATTCGTCTTAAGGACACAATGATTCATTGGGCTCGGTTTCTTCCAAGTATTTCTAATCACTTCTATTTTATTTAATTAAATGCATGCAGAAATATATGAATTTTTTATAACAAAGATAAGGGAGGAGTAATGTAATGGGAGAGGAGGAGATGGATTAAATCTACCATGCCAGATTACTTGGAGGCTAGCCAGGTCCACAAAACAACCACAGTGTGGCCTAAAGGACAAAGAAATGCAGCTGTTTAAGTGGAGAAGAATGATGGAATGCAAACCGACACCATCAACCACGCCTCCCCGCTACCCCTTCCCCTTCTTTCTGCTTCTTATTCCACCCCCTCTTCACCAGACTGATCCTAGATTTTCCCGCCCTCTTCTCTATTTTGTCTGAAAATTACACAACTATGAAATTCAGCCTGGAGATTAGCGCTTTCTTTCTGTTGGTATTCTCTATTTCGCTCTGTGGGGCTGTCAGAAAAGAGAAGACGGTTTCTCAGAAGCTCGAGGTTCACAAACACTTGCATCGTCTGAATAAACCTGCTGTCAAGTCCGTAGAGGTCTGTTCTCCTTTTTCTCTTGCACAAATAAAGGCCTGGGTTTATGTATGATTCTCAAGCACTCATCTTTTTTTCTTTCTGTCTGGTGCTACCCCCCCCCCCCCCCCCCACCCCAAACGCACAAAAAAGCAGAGCCCAGATGGTGATATCATTGATTGCATCCATATTTCTCACCAACCAGCTTTTGATCATCCTCATTTCAAGAACCACACAATTCAGGTACCTTTTTTTCTTCCATTTTTCTCTTTTAAATGTTATTTATGCTTTAATTGGAATTTGGATTAATTTTCTTTTTGCTGGCATGTGTGGTAGATGAGGCCAAGTTACCATCCAGAAGGGCTGTTTGAGGATGGAGAGGTAAGCACAGAGAAGGAGGGTGGGAATGATGGGTCAAACCTTATTCATCAGCTTTGGCATTTGAATGGGAGGTGTCCTGAAGGAACAATTCCTGTTAGAAGGACGAAAAAAGAGGACCTTTTGAGAGTGAGCTCTATGAAGAGCTACGGGAAAAAGAAGCTTAAAGGTGTTCCTAAACCCAGGTCTGCTGAACCTGATTTCATTTCCCAGAATGGACACCAGGTAAAATTTCCCATTCATTCATCCATTCACTCATTCCTCCGCCTTAATTTAACTGGAGCTGAAATTTGATTAAAGATTCTTCCTTTTGTTGTGGGTTTGTTTTGTTTTGCTGTCTTGGAGTTGTTCTCAGCATGCAATAGCCTATGTTCAAGGAGGAGAGTATTATGGTGCAAAAGCCACAATAAACGTTTGGGAGCCTAAAATTCAACAACCTAACGAGTTCAGCTTGTCTCAGATTTGGATTCTTGGGGGTGATTTCGACTCTGACCTCAACAGCATTGAAGCTGGTTGGCAGGTTTTCCTTTCTTACTTTCTATGTTTATATTTCCCCTTATTTAATTTTTTCACATTTCTTGTCCCAAATTGATTTGGGACATCAATATCTTTTGTCAACCAACCTTAAATTTAAATCCTTCATATTAGTAATTAATTTAATTTTTAATAATAAAAATTTTACTCGTATATGTTTAAACTAAGTTAGAATCTGTTTAAAGCTGCAAACTCCAAATTATAATATCCCAATTAAGCGAATAAAATGAAGCTGATTAACAAAAAAGTTTACTTTGCAATTCAATTTGGGACAAGCCCGTATAATTTTTTAATGGAGAAGAATTGAGATAGAAACTGTACCAATCAGAATCATTATGGCTGATCGTGTGGTTACATTACTCCCCTCCCTTTTTGGCACTTACAGAAGAATGATTAGCCAACATTTCAACCCCAGTTTTTAGTACTTTTACTAGTCCTCAGTTCGATCATTTCAAGCTACAGGTCCATTAAATGGCAATTAAGTGCCTGTCTTCTAGTCAATCAAAAATGTCGAATTTTCAAACTGTATTCTATTCTAGTTTAACCCGTGACTTACAAGCAAACAACACCGTACAGCTGTCATGTGCAAAAAGTCATGTTAGAGGGCAGTACAAACATACTCCTTAGTCCTTGCACCATAAATTGGCTATGATAAGTTGAAAGATATGGAATAATTTTTAAAAGAAACAAGTTGTTCACAACTTAAAAATTGTCTTTCAAAATATACAACCAGACTTTTAGAAAAGGATGACACCCCATCCCTGAGGGCCCCCCAACACCGACCGGACGACACGATGGGAGGATGTAAATTGGACTATAATCACAATCTGACAGATAGAGAGTGAGGCTCTGTCCCCGATACTTGCAGAGGCCCTATACATTTTTCAGCATAGTAACCCCTCATCGCAGTTGCCGGGATTCGAACCTGAGACCTAACCCTTGTGGCACTCCTCGCTACCAGTTGAGCTACGCCCACCGGTAACCACAGACTTTTAGAGATTTCTTAAGTAGTAATTTGTGTCTATCAAATATGCACATAGATGCAAAAATAAGTTCGATACTAAGCTCTATTTTTACCTTTAACAGTTTGCGTTATTTGTGGATTACCTTATGGAGAAAAAACTACATATAGCATAGAAGATAGTACTTATTGTTAAGGCCCTATTACCCTATACCAACTACCCCTACACTTTTTTGTGTAGGGCGCTACAGAGTTGTCTCTACACGGACAACTCGGTGTGCTTGAGATACCAACTTTCCTTCTTTGGCCACCTTTTTCTTTGAAATAAATACATTGTGGCTTACATTATAAGAAAATGCTCCGAGGCGTGAAGTTTTTTTGAGTGAACGAATTCTATTTTCAAGAAAAACAATTGTTGTCGTATTTGAGTAAATGTTTGATGTTTTAGTTCTATTTTATAGATCTTCTTGTGTATGATTTTGTATTTCTTATATAAACCTACCTTAAATCACACAACTTTTAATTCATTGCTGTTTTAAAGAAGCAATGCTCACAAAACATAGAAAACTAGTAAAATAAAGAGATGCTCTACTCTCCAGCACAATTCTTTCTGTCTACCTTTATTACAGCAAAAATATTCTTTATGTTATTCCTCTTGCATGCAGAAATCTTAAACCCCACAATTTTTTTATTACCTTACTATTTCAAAATCGCATTCCACCAGACAAGAAAGTAAAATGTGTTAATTTTGCACCTAATTATTCTTGAATCATGACCCTTTTGAGCCCTGATGATATGGTGAAATGGACTTGCAGGTTAGCCCGGATTTGTATGGTGATCACAACACAAGACTGTTCACATATTGGACTGTATGTCAAACGCGACCTTATCTTCTTATTGACTTGTATGTATATCCTCCTTACTTATAGCTAATTGTGAAAAGTATGGACACTTGGACAGAGTGATGCTTATCAAGCCACTGGATGCTACAACTTGCTATGCTCTGGATTTATTCAAATTAATAATAATATAGCCATGGGGGCCACCATCTTCCCCCTTTCCAACTATAGAGGTTCCCAATTTGATGTCAGCATTCTCGTCTGGAAGGTAATTTTCTCAATTTTACCTTAGTTGAATTGGGTAATTTTTTAAAGCTGCACTAGCTGTGCTTGGTCAATTTATGATAAAATTATACTCCCTCCATTTCATTTTCTTTGACATAGTTTGGCATGTCAACATTTAAGGAATTTTTTTACTTAGGGGTAAATTTTACTGTTTGAACACTGTTTGGACACTGTTTGAACATTGTTTAGACACTGTTTAGACACTATTTTGCACTGTTTTGCACTGTTTGGTACTGTATTGTTTACCAAATGGGAAGTGTGGCATTCATTTTGAAACGTCCAAAAAAGGAAAGCGTGTCAAAGAAACTGTAACGGAGGGAGTATTTGATTTTTTTGTTAATAAATTTAAAACTTCCTAATGTAAGCTGCACTGGCTGTCCTTGCACAATTTCTGTATCAACTTCACTCTTTTTAGTCTCTTCTTTTGCATTATATACGGAGTAGTTTACTTTCACATTATAAATTTTAATCATTAATACTCGTTTATATATTATAAAGAAACGAGGTATGTCAAAATCTTAGAAAAGACATCTCTCATACTTATTTTTACCAAAAAACAGGAGTAAAAATAATACGGAGTACTCTGTATCAAATTGCAAAAGAGGTGTATAGATCTTTCTTCCCTAGCTATTTTTCTAAGTGAAATAGTCAGTAACTTTGATGTTAATGAATGTAAAAATAAGACTTCTCATGGGATCCCCCCCTCTCTCTATATATATAGTATATACACACACTATCGTATATGGAGTAACTTATTTGTCTTTGTTTCCTGTTTGATAAGGTTTAGAAAAAGAAATTAAGATTACATTTAGTGTGATTTTATATACTCCGTATTATGTAGTACTATTATTAGTATATATTAAATATTTATATTGATATGTTTTGTATAATTATAATTTATATATTTAATCCTATTTTGAACATTTTTTATTTTTATGCATATAATGATATTTTTTATAAAATACTTCCTTTGTAACATTCATATCTTCCCACTTTCTTTTTTCGACCGTAACATTTATATCTTCTCATTTCTAAATGCTCCCATTATATCCTCAATAATTTTGAAAATAATACACTATTACAACTATTTTTTTTGAATTTATCCTTCATTCCCGCACACTATTTCATTATCTTCCCATCATACTCTCAATTATTTATATCCTCTTTTACTATTTTTAATTTCAACAATTTTTACAGGAGAAGATATAAATGTTACAGAGGTAGTAAGAAAACAAAAAGTACCATTGTAATAGCACACCACGGCAGGTGTTGGCGTCCAGGATAGAATGTCATTTTTCTTTATAATAACATACTCCCTTCGTCTTGTCTTGAAAAAGTTGGTTAAATTTCCTTTTAAGAATGTCCTAAAAAGATTTGTTATTTTCATTTAAAGTAAGGAATATGTGACTAAAGTTAATTTGTTTTCCTCATCCCAAATTGTAACCACACAATTTTTACTGTATTATTTCACGTGAAAGTTAATTTTGGTCAACCTTTTCAAGACGGAGGGAGTACTACGTACTACCATTCGAACGTATATAATGTCCTAAAATTAATACTACTACGGAGTATAACATTGTAGATTTGTACTTCCTTCAGCTTTTCTATTTCGCCGGTTCCAAATAATTTTCATTTTTTGTAGTATCTTACACATGTCTCTCTATTCAGTAGAATTGTCTATCATGCAATAGCCACTATATTAATTCTCGTGTCAAATGTAATTTGGAAGATAATTTAGAGAGGAAAGGAGTAGTTGGTACGGAGTACTATGTATTATTTTATTAATTTTTACATTTCAGTTAATATAATATTTTTGGTAATTATAATAATGAAAAAATAGAATAGAGGGTAAAATGATGATTCCTTGGTTTGACACAAACTGCCATGCATGCCCCGCTACCAATAGTCAAAGTACAAATAAAAGGCGTACCCCACGAGTGCTGATCCCCCCGTACTGCTGTCTCAACTATTCTAGTTCCTATACTCTATTCGATTATTACTTCTTTTTTCAAACTTCAACTGTCATAAACTATTAAATATTTACATTTATAATATAATCAAGAAAATTGCTACTCACTCAAGCAATCTTATAGTTACTGTCATTACTACTAGTATAATTTTATACTTATAAAGTTTAATTTAGTTATATGTGAAGGTTTAATTATTTTGTTTTTTTATTACTTTGAGTTTTTTTTCATTGTTTATTAATCGACTTTTATAAATACAAGATAAAAGTAGTAATTATGACTTGATTTCAACTAGGTGCGCACTGGAGGTTATGTTCATTTTTTATTTAGGTGAAAAGTTATTTTATGGTGTTTTGGAGGGTAAGATTTAATTTTGGGTTTGAAGATGTATGATTGGACGATTGGTAGATGTAGTTTGATTAGACTTCAATCAAAGAAGTAAAGCAAGTTATGTGGAACAAACTTATAAGAGTATAATCATGTGAAGTAACTTGGACGTTTGAACAATGCAGTGATTTAATAGATTAAACACATTCATTAACCCTCAAAAGACTGCTTTTTCTCAAGTTAAATAGAGACTAATAACTACTAATAATAATCCACAATCATACACATTTTATAAATATAATGGCCTTGTTCGGTAAATGGTTGTTAGCTGTTGCTGTTAGCTGGTTATGTCATCTGTTTCCTAACAGCTGGTTGTGTTAGCTGTTTTGACCGGCTGGTTATGTTAGCTGATTATAAATAATTGTTTGGTAAAATTGGTTGTTTCGAAATGGCTGAATGGCTGATAGAGTTAAAAAGACATATTATTAGCTTCTTCAACCATCCGAACGAAGAAGCTGCTCCTCTTAACCTCTTCAACCATCCATTTTTTCAGCTTTTCAAACTCAACAAACTAATTTTAAATGTCATTTACTAAACATTATTATTAACTTCTTTTACTAATCAAATAGTTGAAATGAGTCAAACAAGCTAAAAGCGTGCTCATTAAAAGATTTCAAAGGAGTCGAATCTTTACTGATTGACTATTTTACAAAATGTCAAAATCGAACCGACATAAAACGATGTTACCATTCTATTATGTGGGGCAGTTTTATTGTAAAACAGATAACAAAGATTGTTTATATATAATTTTTCAAAGTTAGGATTGTTTATGATAAACCATAAACTTTCTTTAATATACAAAGCCTCACAGAAATCTTGTAAACATATTATTATATTAAATTAGTATCTCATCCGTTTCAAATTATAAGAGATATACATTTTTGTCGAGCTATAGTATATGCGGAAGAAAATAATAGAGAATAGTGTAAATTGATTTCAATTCTTCTTGCTCACAATAACGAAGGCATGTCTGCCTTTTATACAAGAGAGTGATACCGAACTATGGGGATTCGGCCACTATCATTATGGGAACAAATCATTTAACCCTAAAATAGAGTCCATGCATACATAAATAAATATACCCAAAATAATACCCAAAATAATACGGAGTAACATCTAATACCCCCCTCAAGTTGGAGCATGAGGATTTAAAATGCCCAACTTGTCCAAAAGAGTCTGAAACTGTGTTTTCCCAAGTGCTTTGGTGAAAATATCAGCTAGCTGCATAGTCGTGGGCACATAATGCGGTGAGATAAGTTGATCGTGAACCGCATCACGGACAAAATGGCAGTCTACTTCAATGTGTTTAGTGCGTTCGTGAAAAACCGGATTATTTGCAATATGTAACGCAGATTGACTATCACAGTAGAGCGGTATAGCCTGAGGGTGTTGAATACCCAAGCTCAAAAGTAAAGCCTTTAACCATTTAAGTTCACAAGTGGCGGATGCCATGGATCGATATTCAGCTTCAGCGGATGAGCGGGCAACAGTAGATTGTTTCTTGGCTTTCCAAGAAATAGGAGAGTGACCAAGAAAAACTAGCCAACCAGAGATAGACCGTCGAGTAAGGGGACATGCGGCCCAGTCCGAGTCACACCATCCTCGGAGAGTAAAATCACTATCGGCCCGCAGGAGAATACCTTGTCCAGGAGAGCCTTTAAGATATCGTACAACCCGCAATGCAGCAGACCAATGCTCAGCTAGAGGAGTTTGCATGAATTGGGACAATATATGCACTGAGTAAGTAATGTCGGGACGAGTGACCGCCAAGTAAATAAGACGCCCAACCAACCGCCGATAAGGTTCAGGATCGGCCAGCGGGGCTCCAGTAGCTTGGCCGAGGCCATGATTTTGCTCAATTGGGAATGTTGCAGGTTTGGCTCCCAAAAGACCGGTCTCAGTGATAATATCCAGAGCATATTTTCGTTGAGATAAAAAAATCCCAGTGGGACTTCTAGCCACTTCAATGCCAAGAAAATATTTAAGCTTCCCCAAATCCTTCATATGGAAACAAGAATGAAGATAGGATTTGAACCTAGAGATAGCCACATTGTCATTACCAGCAATAAGAAGATCATCTACATAAACTAAAATATTGAGCTGAGTATCGCCCTGAGTAAGTGTGAATAGGGAATAATCTGCATATGACTGCAGAAAGCCATAATTTTTAAGAGCTGTGACTAGTTTCGCAAACCAACATCTGGGTGCTTGCTTAAGCCCGTACAAGGACTTGTGTAGACGGCAGACCAAATTCGGGTCCTGAGTGCGATAGCCCGGCGGAATGGTCATGTAGACCTCTTCATTCAAGTCACCATGCAAGAATGCATTATGGACATCCATCTGGTGCAACTCCCAATTTTTACAAGCGGAAACGGCTAAAAATGCCCGGACGGTCACCATTTTGGCAACCGGGGCAAATGTCTCAGTGTAATCGAGACCCGCAACTTGACGATTTCCAAATATAACCAGCCGCGCCTTGAGACGTTCTATAGTTCCGTCAGATTTGTGTTTAATTTTATAGACCCATCTACACCCCAATGCCCGTTTGCCGGGAGGGAGCGGAACAAGACTCCAAGTGGCATTTTTTTCAAGAGCTTGAATCTCGGCTCTCATTGCAGTACGCCAGCCCTCCTCTTTGACGGCCTCGTGGAAAGACTGAGGCTCGTTTATTGAATGCAAAGCTGCCAAGAAAGTGCGATGTTGGGGAGAAAAAGCATCACAAGTAATAAAGTGGGTTATAGGGAACGGCGTACCTGAAGAAGATGATGGAGCGGAATGAACGAGGAATGGACTGTTTTTTATCACGGTATGAGTAACATAGTCCTTGAGTCTGACAGAAGGAGTTCGATGCCGCTGTCCTCGACCCAAGACAAGCTGCTGGTGTTCATTGGAGGTCTCGGGTACTGTGTCTTCGGCAGAAGGAGTAACAATATCAACTGTGGAACTCGTATGAGTAGTGTCTGAAGCATCATGGAGAGAGGATTCTGAAGTGGGTGTCATAGCCGGTGGATTGGAATAAAAGGCATCATAATCAAGAACCGGCTGATCCTCTGTATCCAAAGGAGGAGCAATCGCAGGGGCAGAATGCATATCATATGGAAAAATGTGTTCGAAAAATTTTACATCGCGAGATACAAAATATTCATGTGTCTCGAGATCAAAAACCTTCCACCCTTTTTTCCCATATGAATAACCCACAAATACACATTTCCTGCTCCTACTTAAAAATTTATCACCCTTAGAGCGTAAATTATATGCATAACACAAGCATCCAAATACGCGCATAGAGTCATAACAAGGTGGCACGCCAAATAAAATTTCATAAGGAGTCTTGTAGGCATGAATCGCCGAGGGAGTGCGATTAATAATATAAGAAGCAGTCAATACACATTCGCCCCAAAAAGAAATTGGTAAACAACCCTGAAAACGCAATGCTCGAGCAACATTTAAAATGTGTCTATGTTTGCGTTCCACCCGTCCATTCTGTTGGGGAGTCCCAACACAAGAGGTTTGGAAAACAATACCACTTGTCTGAAAAAATTCCCTTAAACAGTTAAATTCAGTCCCATTGTCACTACGCACAGTAATAATCTTCTTAGAAAATTGACGCTCCACCATAGCAACAAATGAGAGAAATATTTTAAAAACCTCCTTTTTATCAAGGAGCAAATATACCCATACAGCACGAGAGTAGTCATCCACAATAGTTAAAAAATGTCTAGCACCACAAGAAGACGGGGTATTATACGGACCCCATAAATCACAGTGAACTAATTCAAAAACTGTATGAGTTTTATTCAAACTAGCAGGAAAAGGATCTCTAGTTTGCTTAGCTCTAAAACAAATATCACACGGTAGACCTCCGGTATGCTTTAAACCACTTACAGGAGCCAATTTTTCAGTTACTTGCGATGATGGATGCCCTAACCGTTGATGCCATAATTCCACCACTGAATTCCTGGTATCCTTGATTGACATAATGTGAGCTGAAGATTCCTCTCGCAAGTAATACAGTCCATTCCGTTGTTCACCCGTTCCAATCAGCCTCCTCGAGGGACGGTCCTGTATAACACACAAATTACAAGTGAATTGAATAAAACAATTTAATTGATTACTCAACTGTGAGACGGAAACTAAATTACAACGTAGCTCCGGAACAAAAAGCACGTTATCTAATTTCAAATTTTCCGTCAATATCACTCGCCCCTCTTGCATAGCCATAACATGTTGGCCATCCGGCAAACCCACAGAGCATGGGCTTATAGATTTAACATCACACAACAAGGATAAATTACCGCAAACGTGATTAGTAGCTCCAGTATCGATAATCCACATTTTAGTATTAAACTCACTAGCCATACGATCATTAGAATTGGGCAGATTACCAAGCATAGAGAGCAATGATTTCCACTGCTCTTGTGTGAATCCTGGCAGCGGAACTGAAGAAGAGCTGCCACCGCCGTTACTTTCTTTATTCGTGTGGTCCGTAGCTACGGCGGCATGTGCTTTGGCCCCCGGCTTGTTGCGTGAAGAACTGCCAGTATTCACTGGCCGTCCTCTACCAGTTCCTTTGATTCCTGGACGTGGTCGATCACCCCACCAGTCCGGATATCCATTTAGTTCAAAGCAGTTTGCAACCTCGTGACCCGAGTATTTGCAATAGGAGCAAATTAACCCGGACTTATCCACTTTTGTTCCTCGCCCAACACTCTTCCCATCTGTGCGAAGAGCAAATCCCAGTACCTCCGGTCTCTCGTCCTGCGTCTGTACCATCCCACGAACTCTTTCCTCTTGTGTAACCTGTTGGTAGGCTCGATTCAATGTAGGCAACGGAGTCTGTAGTAAGAGTTGTGAGCGTGTAACGCCAAAGAAATCAGAATACAAACCCATTAAGAATTGATGCATTCGTTCAGATGCCCTTCGTTTCTCGTGCTGACCGAGTACGTCACAAGTGCACCGATTGCATTTGCACGCAATCAACGGCTCATAATTGTTCAAAGCATCCCATAGTGTTTGTAATTTGGCGTAATAGGTGCCAACCGGCATCCCTTTGGTCTGAACGCATCTGGCCAAATCTGTCTTGACCTGGTGGATTCGTGGACCGTCAACCGAGGAAAACCGTTCCTTAAGGTCGTTCCATAGCTTTGCCGCATCCTCGTAACATGATAAGGTTCCTCGTACTTCCGGTGAGACTGTGTTCAGCAACCATGAAACAATCATGGAATGGAGCGTAAGCCAGTCCTCTTCGGTACATGGGGGTGCCGGTTTCACGATGCTACCGTCAACAAAAACATATTTTCGTCGGGCCCGGAGTGCCAATCGCACAGCGTTAGACCAATCCTCATAGTTACTCGCTATGAGTTTTACCGGGGTAATGATATCGCCCGGCCGATCCTGAGGTCCTAGAAAATACGGCGATGTAGGATCAATCCTCGCCGGCGGGTTTCCCTGAGTGTGTTCTTCGGTATGGGTCGCCATGCGTGAATTTCAGCGCATTAGATGCTCTGATACCATGTCGAGCTATAGTATATGCGGAAGAAAATAATAGAGAATAGTGTAAATTGATTTCAATTCTTCTTGCTCACAATAACGAAGGCATGTCTGCCTTTTATACAAGAGAGTGATACCGAACTATGGGGATTCGGCCATTATCATTATGGGAACAAATCATTTAACCCTAAAATAGAGTCCATGCATACATAAATAAATATACCCAAAATAATACCCAAAATAATACGGAGTAACATCTAATAATTTTTAAACTCTGATTAAGTTAAAAATGATTATCATGTTCTTCATATTAATATTAAGTGTAGTATTATTAAAACTACTTTGAAATCTCTATTTTAATGAAAAATAATACGTGGTATTAAATATGATTAAAATTGTGATAAGTGATCAAACAGTAAAAGAGAGTTTGATATATGTGTTCGTATATTTCTATTACTAGTATATTTTACGAAAACTATTAAATATTAAATAGTTGAATAAGTTTGATGTCAAATATGGTATTGTTAATGTTTATATACATAGTATATTTCTGTCTCATTCAACGGTCAAAAATATAAACAGAGCCCGTTAACTCTCGATATATATATATATATATATATATATATATATATATATATATATATATATATATATATATATATATATATATATATATATATATTTAAAGTGTTTAACTTGTTGGAATCATTTTTGTTACATTTTAAGAGATTATCTTTGGCCGTTGAAATAAAAAATTATTTGTTCAACACAAAATTGATAAATAGAAGTAGGTGAATATTTCCAGCATACAAACATATTCGGGCGTACATATTTATTGGATGGAGAGATAAAATTGCACATGCATGGTTTCCCCACTTTTATTGAAGGGTGGTGGGAGCGGGTCCACATTCATATGTTGGGAAATAATAGCTGGGCCATCGGCCCCTTTCTTGTTTTGCCCTTAAAATGGCCCCGCCTATAATGCATTGTTTCTAGCTTTGAAATTTGAAGAGGTGTTGGGTCCCACTATCAATGCTGAAATTAATTCTGATAAGTTTGAAGAAATTAATTGATTCTGATAAGTTTAAAAAATGTATAAATAATGCTAAAACTGACTGAATGTGATTAACAACAACAACATTCAACCTTAATCCCAAAAGATATTGGGGTCAAAACTCAAAACATTCCTAAATGATGCCCTGAGCCCGAGTGATGAAAGCACACTCAATGCAACAAAACAGTCATAAAACTGACTGAATGTGATGAATTAAAAAAATTGTGTTGAATATAATTTCATAATAAATCAAGGAAAATTATATGTTACACAAGTTAAAATAGCATCATCCCGTGGATTCAGCCATGAAAAAACTCTAATATAGTACTCCCTCCGATTCAAAAACAAGTTCCACCTTTCCTTTTCGGGCAGTTCCAAAATTAAGTTCCACTTTCAAACCTTTCCTTATTTGGCAAATTATCTACATCAAAACAGTTCCAAACAGTGTCAAACAGTGCAAAACAGTGTCCAAACAGTGCACTCCACAGTAAAGTCAAGTTTCTTTTCTTAATATGTGTGAAGTCAAATGTGGAACTTGTTTTTGAATCGGAGGGAGTATAATATTACTTGTTTTTTTATTACCATTGTGTAACTCTACTCGCTAAATCAATAGTTTAGTACTCCATAATGGTAAAAAGTTGTCTCTAAAATGGAGTTGCCAATCCAGCTTAATTGGCAAGAATTTTTATCTTTTAAAATACTCCGTAAATTGTAGCGAAATTATCAATTCATTTCCCTGAACACGGGTACTATGTTTTCTTTCTTGAACTAGCAGTGAAGTTTTACCATTTTAAACTCATAGTCCGTATATTAAATGACATTACCAGACATTAATAGGAGTATTAATACCATACTATGGCAGTACCAATTCAAATTTTCAACAATTATTTTTATTTAGAATAAATATAGTAGTACACTTATCTTGGCAAATCACATTGTTTTTACTAGTTTACAAGTTTTTATTTTATTTTATTGTTTTATAATATGTCTCCTTACTTTTTCTTTCTTATTGCAAACTGAAAAGTTTTAAGCTGATATTTTTCGGGATAGATCAAGCAACATGTGTTAATACTATTAAGACGGGTCTTATAGTGGTAGTGATATTGAAGAATAGTATTATATCATGAATATGAATAGAGTTTACTGCTTGTTTAAATTTTATTTGCATTCATGTGCTTTTTATGAAATAATACATCTGGCCTGATGTTTTTATTATGATGTGACGCCATATACTACATATATGACTACAACAAAGGTAATGAAAAAAAGTGATCTTATACAGAGTGACTATAATAATACTCAGTAACTTTTAGTGAGTATGTTCAATTTTACACTAGTGACTATGAAGTTAATCACCTAATTAATAATTGTAGTCATGTTTTTCTCCATAAGCTTAAGTTGAGCCATATTCTAGGAAAAACCTATTTTTTATTTAAGACTAAAACATTTTTTTTGAACCCGGTGAGAGTCCAAAACCCGAGAGTTTTGGGGTGAGGGCCAGGGAAACCTCACCTATTTATTAAACAAAGAAAGATACATGGAGTAGGAGGACCAAAGCCTACTAAAAAATTATAAAACATAAGGATAACTAATAGTGTCAAACTTGAGGATACCAACAAATTGGTTGAAATGATGACTTTTGGTTTTAATGGAAGTGTAACGATAGGCTAAGTAATCGGCTGCTTTGTTGACTTCGGGGTTGATGTGCATGATTGTCCAATTGAAGTCTTTTAGCTTTTTCTTGATAGTGCAAATGCAGGACCAGTATTTCTACTGTTGAATGGAATGACCGATGATGTCTTCATAAATGTCTTTGTTTCAACCTCAATAATAATATCATTAAAATTAAGATGAGGAATAACGTTTATAATGACATCATAAAGAGCAAGAGAATGTGACCAGTGTCGTAGCCGGATGCATTGCGGATGAGAGCAACCGTGCGGATGAGATTGGGATTAAGATTGTGAGAAGCCACATTAATTTTGAAATAGTCCTTCGGGGTTTTTTCCAGTCGGTGACAGTGGGGTTGGTGTGGTTCTTTTTGGGCCTTAAAGTGAGAATATTGATTTGAGGATGGGAGGTGCAAGTGATAAAAGGTTTAGTAACCGATAAGGCAAAAAGATCATTTTTAATAGCTTTGATAGCCTCAGGAACATGGCCTTTTTTATCATCATGAAGAAAGTATTGCGGATTTTCTGAAGATGCCAAATAATGATATTTGGAAGAGCAAAGTTAAGATCCTCGGAGGGACCTTTAAAGTGCTTATACCAACTGTGCTTGAATAAGTTTGTATGAACTTTTAGCCCTGAACATGCATCATCAATTGAGTTTACTGCTCATTTAAATGTTGTATTTACATTCTACACCGTATAATATAATCGTTAAGATGTTTTTATTATTTTACAGGACCCAACATTGGGCAACTGGTGGATGCAGTTTGGGAAAAACAACATTCTTGGATACTGGCCTGCGTACCTATTTTCTAACCTACAAGACAGTGCTTCAATGGTTGAGTGGGGCGGGGAGGTGGTGAATTCGGAGCCTGACGGGTTGCACACTACGACTCAGATGGGCAGCGGCCACTTCCCGGGTGAAGGGTTTGGGAAGGCTAGCTATTTCAGGAATATACAGGTCGTGGACGCGTCAAATAACTTGAGACCTCCCCAAGACCTGGGAGTTTACACTGAGGATGACGACTGCTACGATGTGCACCTTGGAGAGAATAGTAATTGGGGGAACTACTTCTACTACGGTGGTCCAGGTAGAAACGACAATTGCCCATGACCGGTCACGGTAGAAACGAGAGTCGCGCATGACCGTGAGATCTTGTGCTAGGTTGCTCCCTCGTCGAATGCCATCACATCTTCATTTTATTAATTCCTCACGCATCCTCAGTGTAGAAAGTAAAAACAAAGAAACCGCGCAGACGTGGTTGGTTTAGGCGTGATCGAAAATCATGTATCCCTTTTAAATACATGTAGGGGTAGGCTAGTTTAGAAAATGTGTGAATGAGCAGCATCTTGATTAATATATGGTCACATTGGACTGTTTTACTACTACCTTTTCTTGTAATTAAGCTGTAAATGCCTCCCAGCCGAGAGGCGATTGTAGCCAGAAGACGCAATATGATGGTCATGTTTCTCCACATTGAAACAGACCTCTTTATTCAGATGTGTCAAGTTCTTTGTTCGTAACTCATTGCTTCTAATTCGTTGAAATCTACATGCAGCAGCAATCCACAATGTGATGGTTTACTACATTGCTAAAAAATATTGTCATTATATTTACGCCTCCTAGCATGTGCAATTTTCAGATAAAATTGCACATGCATGGTTTCCCCAATTTTATATAGATGGCCGTGCTAGGAGGTGGAAGATGCAAAGATAAAACATGTTCGGTTTACTACGTATGTAAGAACTAAGAAGTGCAACAAAAACTGACACTAAGAAAGATTAATAAAGTTAGCATATACAGTATAAGTTTAAATGTATTAACAAGAGATGACGATTGATGAAGTATTCATGAAGATAAGTACCAACCAAGTATATAATACGGAGGAGTACATATGCATAAAATGTTTCCAAAAATTTATATTGCAAGAGAAGATAGAAACAATTAGAGATTTATAGACTGGATGGGCTAATAAATAAGTATTTGCATGAAAAAGCGTGACCCGCCCCAGCTGATATTATATTTTACCTTCTTCAATTCCTTCCTGACATCGCCCATTCATGGCTCGATCATAATGTCATGATTATAGTATTTTGTATTCGTAGTTGGTTGCTTGTTCAATTCTTTCTCCGAGATAGATAGATATATAGGCAGCTTATTTAGCTTCAATTCTTCGTATTCAATATAAAGCTAGATTGAGTTCGTTCAAGCCCTTATTCAGCTAAATGAAATGATCGAGCAGAAACATGTTACACAGCAGCCTGCTATGAACATCTGCTAATCACTTCCGCTTGCCTTGTTCCTCAATTATATACACACAGGTAAAGTCTTCCACTGCACCTTCATATATCCAACCTCATTCGAAGTGCTATATATAATTATAGTCGGAGTTGTTCCTCGTGTACACAAAAAATGTATACCTTTTGTACACTCGTGTACTCACACAATTGCCGACTTTTTCTAAACGAGTTGATTGCGTAACAGACATTTTTGTGTACATCTAGTTTTTATGATTGTTGTTTTTAGGGAAAATGGAAACTAATAGTCTCACCTTTTAGTTGTTTTCTTATAATAGTCTCACCTAATCGTAATTTAATTAGGAATAATCTCACTTTTACCTACCATCTCCTTTCATTTTCCCTAACTGGTTGCTGACCTTTTATTTCAGGTTACTTTCTTTTCTTTGCAAAACATTAAACTTTAAATCTTACCTTTAATAATGTTTTTTCAAAATGGTCCAACTTATCAATTTTCTTCTCTCTCTCTAAAAGTCTTACTTTTAATTTTATCCTATTGACTCTTTTGTTCCCTCTTTCTTTCTTATTTTTATTTCTTTTCCATGTTTATGTATTTCTTTTTTTTTCTTTTTCCTATTCTACCTCCTTCCTATAATCCTCGATAAGACTTATTTTATTAATAAAAAAATTATAGTTTTATTTATGTTAAAAACATAGAAATAATAAAAAACATTTGTAAATTTATAAAAAAAAGTAAAACAAAAATATAATATTTAAAAAATTAATAAAAACTTTAAAATATAAAAAATAAAAAATAAAAATGCCTAAAACCATATTAAAAAATTTGTAGACCATGCCTTTGCATCTTCCACCTCCTAGCACCGCCATCTACGGTCGCCGAAAAATATCAAGTTGTGTAAAAAATGACACTTATATGAAAATGTCATGAATGTAACACATTTACTCTTTGAAAATATCAAACTTGCTTTCACAACTACCATTAAGATGACATTTTTGCAAGTCAGCATTTTTTCAGGCGACCACATGTGGCAGAGCTCGAAGGTGGTTGAGGCCTGTAGATTTTTATTCATTTTTACGTTTTTTTTTGTTTTTCATTTAGACTTTTTATGCTTTATTATTATTAAAGAATTCCTATTAAAGCATGACAAGGAAAATGATAGGATTGGGGGAGTTACTCCTATTTTGGAAATTTAATCTTTATACTTATATTCTTTCAATTTTGCTTTTATTCCTCTTATTTAGAGAATTACCCCTTAATTTATGGGTAGGTTCCACTTTTCGCGAGCTTGGCCCAGGTAGCTTATCTCAGCCCTTTTTCTTAAGAATACATCTATTCAAATTGTGGAGGGTGTGAACCATTGTAATCTTGAAACATATACTATTTCGTATGTATCTTGTGGTTTGACTTTGCACACAGATTAAGAACGTAAAAATTCCGTGATTGAGAGTTGTGCAAGGGAGAAAAGAATGAACTGTAAATTCTTTGTCATAAAGGAAATTGAAGTTTACTATAGGGCAAACCAAAATAGAAAGAATGAAAATATTTATGGGACAGAGGGAGTATACAACATAGTTTATCTAATAAGCTTTAATTTCTATCTAAACCTAGAGTTTTATCATCCATCATAGTGCTTCATCACTGCCAATTCAATTAAAACATTTACATTCATTGGACACTTTCTATAATTGTGAAGAAACAAGAAATGAAAAGCGTGACTCATTTAATCATTTTAAAAATTCTTTTATAGCAAAAAGTGTATGTATTGGCTAGCATGTATGAAATATCGTTTTTATTATTTCATTACAGGAGTTAGTAGCTATGGAAAGATCAAACAATTAAGCTTGATTTAGTTGATTATTAATCATTCTAAGACTTGGTGCATAAGTTGATATGAAAACAATGATCAATGAAAACTGGGTGGAGGAGGAGAAACCACTAAGAAGGAGCTTAGTATTCACATATGGAGTAGGCCACATGCTGAATGACATTACACAATCATGTTGGTATACATATCTCTTGCTCTATTTGACAGATATTGGGTTGCCCCCAAGGTATCCTATTGCAAGCCTCTTTATATTTCTCTTACTTCTCATTGAGTGGTCTATACTCTAAATGCTATCACATTTCTGCTCTACAGTAGTGCAGCTATTGTCACACTTACTGGTCAATTCGCTGATGCATTCACAACCATCATTGTTGGTCAATTGGTACATTTTTAGACTTAACCACCTTTATAAACTTAGATGTCACTGTCTTAAAAAATTCATCTTAAGTCAAACTATTTGTATATATGCTAGTCATATCCATGTCAATTATTAATTTTTTGTTATGCATTATCTGAGTCGTTTTAAGGGGGTTTCTTTCTTTTGTATGACAGATAGATAGATATGGGCATTTCAAGAGATGGCATGGCATTGGGTGCATTATGGTTGCTTTCTCATTTATTTCACTTTTTAGTGGCCTTTGCATCCCGTGCAAAATTGGGGGTTCATATTCTCAAATGACACAAACAGTTTGGTATTGCATATCTGCTGTTATCTATTGTAGCGGATGGTCTTGTACTCAGATATCACACATGTAATCCTTCAATACCTTCTTGCCTATTTTTATTGATGTGCCTTTGAGAGGTCTTGTAAAAAATGTTAATGACAAAATCTAATGATGTATTAATGTCACAGGTCAATGGTGAATTGCATTACACTCAATGAATCGAGCAGGATAGCATGTGTTAGCTGTCGCAACGCATTTACAATGGTTTATATTTATTATCCATGATTTATTTGGTCAATGATTTCTTTCCTTGGATTTCATGTATTTTCAACATGAGAGACTAACCAATCTGTCACTTCGATCCTTGGCAAATCATTTATAGATTGCAAGCCTCATCTATTATGCAATCACACTTTTCATTTTCACTGACACTATATATGGGCCACAAGATATTAAAGTTCAGGTATGTTAAACTAGTGTTCGAGCTATAATAACATTTTAGTTTGTTATATTTCTAAATTGTAGTGCACTCTTGTGCAGTATCGCTGGATGTCATATATATCAATTTTTATTGGTAGTGTCTTTGTGATCATCTTTCATCTTGGGATTAAGGAGCCGAGGTATGTGACATGAATTAAGATTTCATCTGAATTATAAACTCATTGAACAATGAGGATTTGTATGAGCTCTAATAACTAATTTTCTTTTTAAGTATTATACTTCTTCATGTTATTGTGAAATCTAAATTATTTACTAGAAGTGGAGATATTTAGATCTCTTATAAAACCACGTTCTCCAAAAACTTGAATGATAGCTAAGGGAAGATGTCTTTTATTTTTCAGTAATAAGAATGGTGGTTGTGCAAAAACTCGCGTAAATACACCATGGACTTATTGGTTGAAGAAAGTTTCTTATCATCAAGTTTCTAGTGTTTACGTGCTCACTCGAGTTGTTACCAATGTTTCACAGGTGAGTATAGTATAAATAATTTGTTTGTGTCCTTTTAGCCTTGCTTCTATCTTTTGAAATTTAGTACAATGCAAATAATGTTTGTTCTTTTTGTTTTGTTGGTTTAGTCATTTCTTGCAGTGTATGTGATAAATGATTTGCGGATGAGCCAATCTTCAAAGTCACTGGTATTTATGACAAATGAGTCTTTTGTTTGAATTTCATGTGAATATATAATCTATTTTCAATTTTTAATGGATGCCCCTTTATTTAACTGTGAACCTTTAATATGGATAGGTTCCTGCCCTCATTTACCTCTGCAGCTTCATTACCTCTGTACTTCTACAGGTTCATTATGAAATTTTAATTGATGTTGTTGTATTTCATTTTGAAGTTTGCGATAATCGAATGAGTGAAGCTGAAATAAATTGGACTATAAACTATTTTCATTGAATGTAGGAGCTTGAATGGAGCAACAAAAAGTTAAAAAACTTGTTCTCCAGCGGTGGCATACTCTGGTTTTTATGTGGTGCAGCAATAATGTGGCTTCCAATAAACTTGAATCTATTCATGTACGCCCTATCAGTACTGATAGGAATCGCAAATTCCTTGATGATGGTATGGAATCCATAAAAAGAAACTTCTTGTTGGGTTATTAGTGTAATAGATGCATTATTCATCCACATTTGCACCACTAAAGTACACATCAGAATTGCATTTGTATGTTTCTTATAAAAATGAAGACATTCATTTCAATGCATGTTTTCACTGTTTTATGAGAACTTCTATTTGGTGTGAAGGTGACTTCAACAGGCATGGAAAGTGCTCTAGTAGATAAACACCTTGATGGTTCAACATTCGTGTATGGATCGATGGGCTTCATCGACAAAGTACTATGTGGAATAGCACTGTACTTTCTTGAATCATTTGAGAGTTAGTTTTCATGCTCAAACTCATATCCTTTACCTCAAAATGCAGAAAAGAGTTTTATTAATATTTTCAGCTAAAAAAAACTCCCCTTTCAACGTATATTGTATATATTATGTTAGTGATACATACAAAAATTTGCGGTTTTTGCAGATGTTGATCCAGTACCATGTAATCCAAAACATGCATGTCTCTCCGTAACCCGATTTTCACTAGGGTTCATCCCGGGAATAGCAGCACTTCTTGGAGTTATAGTTTCATTCATGATGGATTTGCAGACCTCCCATTCATATCATTTAGAAGAACCTTTACTGGAATAGAATAAATCGAGCCTGGGATTTCTAGTTTTCTACTTACGGTGTAGTACTGTGTCATTCAAATCATTTAGCAGAACCTTTACTGGAATAGAATAAATCGAGCTTGAGATTTCTAGTTTTCTACTTGCGGTGTAGTACTGTGCTAGTCAAGATCTTAATAAATGCTCAAAAACATTATGTGACATTATAATTAGTGGCGGAGCCAGAATAACAACTCAAGGAGGTGGAAAATCAACTATGTACAAAATGAAAATGGAGAACCGATTTTAGACCATGTCCGAGTTGAATGTTTCATTTGTAGGTTATATAAATAGACACTTGTAGCAATAAGATAGATTGTCATTGCTCTATTTTAGTCTTATCACGTAAGTAATGAGTTAATTGAACATTATTTTTAAAATTTGGGAAAATAATCGATATTACACATCAAATTTTTGCTGAATTTACGTTTAGATAATGCTGATTTTCCAGAAGTTATAACTTTTTACTTGGGGGCCATAATTCAGAGCTCTATACTCTCAAACTTTCAGCAGGGTCGGCGGCTGACCCCCTGACCCCATAATCAAACAATTACGATAAATATTAACACTAATAGCATTTATTATTTTTATTATTGTAAATATTGCTATTATTATTATTATTATTATTATTAGTTCTACGGAGTATTATATAACAGCTATTATTATTAGTAAACTTAAATATAACAATGGAACAAGAAGTAGAGGTAGCCAAGTGGTGTAAGGAGGGAGAATTCTGATCTCTCGGGGTGGGTTCGATTCCCACATACCCCTTTGATTTTCATCTTTTTAGTGCATGTATATCTATGCTGACCTGGATCAGTGACGTGGCCGGGTGGAAGTGGAATTTAACTTGACTGCTGACATGGCACGATGTTAATGCAAAAATGCCTTTATTTTAGGAAATAAGATTAGAAAGTACCTCTCTTTGGCAAAAAAACACATTAATTAAAATGCACAGGTTTAAAGGTTGGAGTCAATATTACTTTAAGAGCGTGATAACAAATACCGAGTATTACTCTGTCCCGACTTAAACTCCTCACTTATTTTTTGTTAAAGCTTTCCACTTTTATTTTAAGAAGTAATTAACATTTAAATAACAACTTAATCAATAACAATTAAAAAAAATATAGTTATAAGATCACAATTATCATCAGATGATATACTATTATATTATATACTCATCAAAGTTACTTTTCAAAATATATCAGAATAATTTTATTTAATTATTTTCTAAATACTCATATAATTTATCAATGTGAAGTTTAAATCGGAAGGTATTGGTTTTTATTCGTTACTCTATACTAGATAACACTCCCTGTGACAATCCAAAATCTACTTAAATGTCTTCTTCCTATCTTGTGCAGTGGCAAGCTACCTGACCTCACCGAGTCCACTGGCCAGTGGTTTTCACTTCGATTGAGAAAAAAATAGACTTTAATGTCTTTTAAAGTTGATGAAAGTACTGACATACATGAATTACTATTAGAATATTGATTGATGGAATATATAATATCAGGGGCGGCCCTAGGGGGTGCAAGGGGGGTGGGCACCCTAGGCAAAAAAAATTGATAAAAAATAGGTCTAAGTTTAGTTCTTTGTAATAGGTTTGTGTAGACTCATTTTCTCGCGCTACAATAACATTTTTTCAAGTGGTATTTGTTGAAGTTATTCGGAATGGATTTTCTGGGTGAAAATTTATGATCATGTTCTCTATGAAGTGTAGATTATGTAAATAAAAAAATCAGCTTAAAGTTCAATTTAGAAGTCAATTATTGAAAAATGCTGCATTTGTTTACATATTTTGGTGCATTGTTTTTCAGTAATTTATTCAACTGACTTCACGGTTGAATTTTAAGTTGAAATTTTATGGACATAATCTACACTTGATGAAAAACATTCTCATAAAATTTCATAAAAAAATTCACTCAAAAGCATATTAGTGTCATATGATTATTTGATTAGTTTATTAATTGATTCTATTCATAGTTGATGGCTTGATTTCTTTATTCTTGATTGTTTTGTATTGAGTGTTGGTGTTATAATTTGTTGATTTTGTTAAACAAAACATTTTTTATTATGATAAATGTTATAAATTTAATTAATTTCAAGGTGTAATAAAAAGAATCGAATCTGAATAGGATATATAAAAAGAGGAGAAAATTAGAGAAAGCGGCACTAAGTAAAAAAAGTTCGATGGAAAAGTTTCTTTGTGTAATTAAGAAGTCACATTCTGAGTGTCCTCTTCAAGATGAGAACTTAAAGAATAACAATAACTTAGCTACTAAAAATTAAACGATATAGAATGATTACATCATTGGAGTGGGGGATTTAGTATGTGGTAGTAATAGAGTTATTTCCTTAAATATGACTTAAACATTGATAAAATGCACAAATAGGATCACCATTGTTTTCTTCCTAAATTTTATGCATGTCAGTTAAAATAGATAAAAGTTCTACAATTTTTTGTAACATTAGGCCCATTTTAATTTGTCACCCCTAGGCCTTCGGACATACAGGTTCGCCCCCATATAATAAAGTAGTATTCCTATATATAAAGTTGGAAATATTTGAAAAAATGATTTTGAAATGCTAAAAGTAGATAGAGTGTTTGATAAACATGTTTTTACAAAGTATAAATAAAATAATGTTTTTAAAGCACTCATCCACTTGCTTTCAATTTTTAGCTTCCGAAATATAATCTCTTCTGTTTTAGGAAACAAGTAACACTATTAAGTAACAATTTAATCATCAAATGTTAAAAAGAATGCATCTATAACATCATAGTTATCATCAATAACCCATTATATTATATATTTATCAAAATTATTTTTAAAAATATATTCAAACGAGCATATTTAATTAATGTCTATATAATCTTGTCATTTTGCAATGAGAATCTTTGAATGAGACAGAGGTAGCATTTGTTACAATAAAGTTTGACAAAATATTTAAGAGAGAGATAACAGGGTAGTGAATATTATAAAAAAGATGGAAAAGTCTGAAAGAGGATGTGAAAAGGTAAAAAAAGGTAAGAACAATTGAGTATTTTTAAAAAGAATACATATACTACTTTCGTCCCTATATAAAAGTCTAAGGGAGTGTTTGCAATTGCTTCAGCTTTAAAAAAGTGATTTTGGGAAAAGTGATTAATATTAAAAGTTGATAGTGTTTGAGGAAAAAGTGATTCTGAAAAAGTAAAAGTTGGTAGTGTTTGGTAAAATAAGTACTTTTTGTGTAATAGAAAAGGTGAAAAGCAGTTTAAAGCACCCTTCCACCTGCTTCCAGCTTTTAGCTTTTAAGAGATTAATTTAAGCAGAAGCTGTCATTTGAGTAAATATTTTTTTTTTTACTTTGACATCTTAAAATTTTCGTTTTCTGAGGGGTAAATTTTATTAGAGGTGAGTATATCGATTTTCGATTTTTATTGTTTTCGCTTTGGTTTAGAACGAATTGGGAGAACTATATTTATGGACTGAAAAAAACTAAAGTAGACCTCCACAATACATAGTAAGAAGACATGGATGAGAGACTTTATAAGAAAAATGGGATAAGATCTACACAACCTAATACGTAGGTGGCAAATGTCAGAGACATATTGGTTAAAAATGGAAAAATGCACCTCAATGAATCAATGATGAAAGGCCTCATGGACAAAAATTCTTGTACAGATTTATCAGGGTCATCCGGGAAGGAAGAATCTTTCATGCGTCAAAAGCTATGCAACTTTAGTCCCCAGCTTTTTCTTTTGACAAGCCCAATTCTTCACCCCTAAGACACATTAAATATCAATGGTGTGTACTAACTCTCCTATCTCAATATTTGTTTTACTTTTGTCCAACTTAAGATAATAAGATCATAGGATACAATCATACAATTGTAGTACATTGGTAAAATTTACTCCATCCGTCCCTAAATATAAATCCATGTTTGACTTTTGAGGTCTTCTAGACGGACAATATCTCTACGTATAAAATATATAATAAATTGACATTTGAATAATACATATTAGAGATATTACTTAAAATAGGACTACAAAAGTTTGAAAATTCTAAAATAGAAGTGTCATGTTTTTATTCCTAAAATAGGACTAATTACTGCCATTTTTTGGCAGTACCACACTTCAAACATGACAGTATTTTCCAAACTTGGCAGTAAATAGTCCTCTTTTGGGAATAAAAACATAACAGTCATATTTTGGAATTTTCAAACCTTTTTAGTCCTATTTCGGGAACTTTCCCTACATATTACTATGAAGCACAATAAATAATTTATTTGGGATAAAAAATTATATTACCTCTGTCAAAGTTTGACAGAGGTAGTATAATTAGTACTACCTCCGTCCCATAATGGTTGTTCACTTTCAATTTGGCACGATTTTTTATAAAGTGGTTGAAAAGTAAAAGTTGTGGTTGAGATTTGAGTAGAATAAAGTGAATTGATAAGAACCACATATTTCATCCAAAAAAGGAAACAAGACATTCATTTTGGGACAATCCAAAAAGGAAAGTAGGACAACAAAAAAGGAAACAAGGAGTATTATTTATGTTCATTTTTAAAAGGAGTGAAGGGATAATACGAAATAATATATTAAAATGTGATATTTATATATTTATATCATTAAAAACTCCACCAATAATTTTTCTCTGTAAAAATAGCAATACAGTATACGTAGTGATATTTTCAAAATCATTAATCTATGTCCTCATTCACCATATATAAATTCGTTTGACTTTGCACGCCAATCCTTCATAATTTTTGAGTTGATGGTTTCAACAAACTATGATAATGAAAATGCCGTATAAAGTTCAATATCACCCCAAATATGAGGTGCAAAGTGAAATTATCCGCCAAAAAAAGTATACTAGGAAACCAATTTATCAGGCCGTTGGATGATGTTATCTTTCAATTTATCAGCCTTATTGATTAATTGTTTCACCAAATACGTGATTTTTGATTTCACACACTTATCAAAATAAGTAGAGAAAAAGGGGCAAATGAATTCTCAAACTATTAGTGGTTTGACAAGTGAAAAGTTACAAGAAGAGAAAGTGGTCCAGCCTAGCTGTTCGCCGACTCACTCTCCCTTACGGGAGGTCTCGGGCTCGAAACTCAATGAAGTGAGTTTCAGCCTAGATTACTCCAGGCTCGCTCGT